AGGTTACAAGACCCTTACACAATTTTAAAAATTACTGGCCAGGCGTGGTGGCTCATGCCTGTAGTCCCAGCACTTTGGGAGGCCGAGGAAGGGCAGACTACTCGAGCTCAGGAGTTCAAGATCTGCCTGCCAACATGGCAAAATTCCATCTCTACAAAAAAAAAAAAAAAAAAAATTGGCCAGACATAGTGGCACACGCCTGTAGTCCCAGCTATTTGGGAGGCTGAGGCAGGAAAATTGCTTGAGCCTGAGGTCGGGGCTGCAGTGAGCTGTGATTGTGTCACTGCACTCCAGCCTGGGCAACAGAGCAAGACCCTGTCTCAGAAAAAAAAAAAAAAATTACTGTAGGTTCCTAAGAGTTTTTGTTTGTATGAGTTATACATTAATTTTAAAAATAAACCCATTATACATTAACACAACATTTTAAAATAAATAACTATATTTTTAAAAATTAAGTGAAAAGAGTGGCATTGTTTTACATATTTACAAATCTCTTTTAATGTCTAGTCTAATGGAAGACAGCTGGATTTTCACAGGATTCCATCTGTTGTAATGTATTGTTTTGGTTTAACTATATAAAGAAAATCCAGCCTCTATATAGTTAGGAAAGGCAGAAATGTTTTTAAATATCTGTCTCAGATAATAGTGAATATTCGTATTTGATACTATATCAAAAATTCAACATCAGTAATTTCTCAAAGATTAGTTGCAACGTAGTATCTGAAACGATATCAATGTCTTTTTTGTACTGTTACATTAAAGTCCATTGGTCTATCTTACATTTTGAATGTATTTTTCAACCATACATAATTTTAAAAAATCATACACTGATCTTCTCAAAAATATTGATTCACTGGGTTATGCAGATCTTCCAGATGTCACATTTCATTAAATAATATAAAAAGCTATAATCGTCAATTTTATCAGAAAAGTCTGTGTTGAGAAGTTGTTGAGCTGAAGGTAGTGAACATAAGTTTTCCTGGATTTTAATAATCACTTGAAAGCTCAAATTTTATCATTAGCAACAAATAACGGGCAGTAGTTGTCCCTGAATTGACAGACTCAATTCATTTTCAAGAAAATGTTAGCTAAGTACCCAAGTCTGAACAACCATTGTTTTCTTGTTGTTGCTAGTTGTAAGCTGGTGTTCCATTAAAAAAGTACGCAGTTAACTCACAATTCAAACAACAGCACAGGTGCGTTTCCTCAGAGTCATTGTCGTATTTTGGTATGTAGCAGAAATGTTTTATGTATACTTTGAAGTTGTCACAGAATATTAAAAAGATGTGTTACTTAAGGATGGAGATTAATTAAAATTAATTTGACTGTTTTAATTGAAGATTTTTTTAGGGTTTTTTTTTTTTTTTTTTTTTTTTTTTTTTAAACTGCAAGTGCCTAACAGTGATGAATACAATGATTACTAATACAGTTTGGTGCAACTACCTTCATTCACCTTAAAGGTGCCAGCATTTTTATCCTCTATTCTTTGCACTACCACTACAAATGCCAACACACTTAAAAAGGCAAATAGTATCTCGGTATAATTATAAAAATAGTTTTGACTTCATGTACTCTTTGAAAGAATCTCAGGATCCAGGAGTCCTCAGAACATATTTTAAGAATCACTGTACTAAATGACTTTCTTATATAATGTTTTCCACTTACATAAAGTATATTTGTAAACTCTACTATAAAGGGTTAAAAAGTATTTTACTATTTGGTTTATGTTAAAATATACACATTACCTTAGTAATAACAATATTTAAATACATTTTATATTGGTATTATAAATGTTTTAATCAATCATATATAATATTTGATATTAAATATTACTGAAGTATCCAATATTAGGAATTTTGTAATATATCAAGTTTTATAATTTCACTTAAAATGTTCAACTTAAATAAAACAATACAAAAAGGTCATGTTAAAAAGCCTTAATAGATTAGTAATCCACAATCTATTGAGAACAAACTAGGTATCTAGCACTGTATTTATAACATTTACATTCTAGCAGAGATGAGTTTAGTAATAATAATAATAATAATAATATGATTTTAAATGTAAATTGTAGGAATATCAGAGAACAGAAATACTGTAGGTCAGAGTAGTTGGGGATGAATTCACAAATACGGCAGAAACTGAGTGAGGACTTAAAGGACAGGTAATTAGAGAAGAGAGAAGCCATTTGAGAATCCAGAAACAACTGGAATGAAGCTAAGTGGGTAGCATTCTTAAAAAGGGGAAAAGCAAGGGGGAAGTCAATCAACCACTTTGAATGGCAAGATCATGCTAGAAAGTAACAAGAGAACAGGCTTACTGAGTAGAATGAAGGCAGAAGTAAAGAGAGTTTTGAAAGCCAAATAGAATATAATGTAGAAAACAAGGTATTATAACTTTCTCAAGACAAAAAGAACAATGAAAGCATACGCTTTAGTAAAATTAATCTGGACATTACACTATAAGAGGAAAAGACTTGTAAAAAAATACCATTTAGAGGCCAGATACTTTTAAGTATTAGGAGCAGGGCATGATTAAGAGTGAACTAAGTTTAGGGTAAAAGGAATGGAAAGAAGTAAATCCAAGAGTGAGACTTAGTGAACTTAGTAGCATGGTAGTAAAGGAGAAGAGTAAATCAAGGATGATTTAAACATAGTAAGGATTATAGCGGTGAGAAGTAATAAACATTAGCAAGTGTATATTGTATGTTAGGCAGCATAATAGACATATAACACAGTAACTGCTTAATTGTCCTGCAAGTTCTGTGAGGTAAGTATCCATTATACGGGTAAGAAAACTGCAGTCCAGAGTGACTAAGTAATTTGCTTTGCTAATGAGTGACGGGCAGCCCTGACACATAGCTGATATGACTATAGAAATAAGAGGCTGTCAGTACAGTGGTTAAGAGCCCAAAGCTTACAGTTGTCTACCTGGGCAACAAGCTTTGCCAGTTACAAGTTGTGAGACCTTACTGTGCTTCAGTTTTCTCACCTACAAAGTACAGACAATAAACTACCTCATAAAATTGTAATGAGGATTCAGATAATGCATGTACAGCACTGTTAATAGCTCCATTAAACAGTAAGCCCTCAATAAACATTTGCCATTATTACATCAGCATAATATGCTGGTGTCATTAACGGGGGAAGGCCCAGTTTTGGGAGGGAAAATATAAAATTTTAAACAAGCTAAGCTGGAGGTGGCTTCTAAGTATCTATTTTTAGAGAAATAAAAATGAAAGATAAAAGCAAAAAAATGAGAAAAGAAATACCTATAAAAATCAAGATAAACCTAATAAAGTCATAGGCCTGGATGATCTGAATTATTTATGAAATTTTTCTCATTCATAAATCCTAATAAAAATATTTCTTTATGTAATGATTTTATAGAACTTCTATTTACTCTGTGTAAAATACTATGCTAGATGCTAGAAGTACAAAGAAGATACCTTAAAAGAAGTTGTTAATATAGGTAGGCAGAGAGAAGCTATACAAAATTGTAAAACGTAATAGGTAATGTACAGCAAATATGTGAGGCACACAAACAAATGATAAAGAGCCATAAAAGTTTTTAAAAAAAGACAGAGGTTCCTATGGGTTATGACAACCTAAGTAGATAGATGAGGCACACACAAGATCTTGAAGAGCAAAATTTAGATAAAAAAGACCCTTTGGGAGGCCAAGTGAGAGGACGGCTTGAGGCTAGGAGTACAAGACTAGACTGGGCAACACAGCAAGATCCCAGATCTACAAAAAATACACAAAATATTAGCTGGCTATAGTGGCCCATGCCTGTAGTCCTAGCTACTTGGGAAGCTGAGGTAGGAGGATAGCTTGAGTCTAAAAGTTTGAGGTTACAGCAAATTATGATCACACCACTACACTCCAGCCTGAGTGATATATAGACCAAGACCCTGAAAAAAAAAAAAAAAAAAAAAAAATAGGTAAGAAAGGAAAAAGTGAGAGGAGTGAGAAAGAGGGGGATACTCCTGGCCAAGAGAGCAGTATGAACATGGCAGACAGAAACCTCATGGCATGTTTTGGAGATAGCAAAAAAAGCAGCTTAATTGGAACAAGAATTTGTACATGGAAGAAATACGAAAAAGGCTGAATATTAAGTTTTTTTTTAATCAAGTTCAAAAAAGCTTTGAATACTAGTTCTAGAATTATATTTCACTCCATAAGAAAATAAGCATTTTTTTCCGTTCCCTTCTAGCATCAGACTTCTATACCTGCATAATCTACTTCTAAAAAAATTAACCTTGCTTTGTAATTACTGTTCTATTCTTTGTTCCTTTTATTTTATAAGCTAGTAAATATCAAATGTAATTCCCATGTGATCAGGTAAGAATCTTCATATAAATAGATTTGCTATGTCACTAAAGCTTTCTTGTTGAATAGATATTTTTTAAAGTTTCTTAGTATTTTCAGTTTTAAGAAAATGTTTGGATTTTAGAAACGTCTTTTCAAATAACTGAATCCCATTAAAAGAAAGGAAATTCAAACTGATCATGACTAGAAAAGGCAAATGCACCCATTTTTTTAACTAAAAATAGCTAATCAGAGTTTAGAACTTTGCCTTTGGCACCATTCCCTGCATTTCTTTGACAGCTGACAAGTACTGTTCTAGAATTGAAATGTTATAAATTAAATATATTATTACCAAGAATTCATACTATGAAACATTGAGGATCAAAATATATTTATAGTAACAAGAACACATGAACCTACCTCACTATTAAAAGCTTTGGACTAATTCAGATATAATAAAGAAAATTTTACTAAATCATAATAAAGAAAATCATATCAAATATTTAGGTATATTTGGTTTTAGAAAGTTTAATTCACTACAAGACCATATTACATGCACGTGTTTGTATATATATCGTGTCTGTGTATGTCTGTGTTTTCAAAAATCATAGTTCTTTTTTCTTTCACCACTTTGTTACCAATTAGTTTACGGTAATACCCTAATACCAATTAGTTTATAGTAATACTTACCCTAAAATTTTATTCATTCCATGTCTAGCAGCATAATGTAATGGAGTATTGTGCTGGTAGGGCTCCCCATAAGATGTATTTGGATCAAGAGATTCTTTTAGCTGAGGATTGTTTTCATATATTTGGCAGGCCAGGTTTTCATCACCATTGATGAGTGCTTTACGGAATTTGGTGGTTGTATTTCCCATGTTTTGTTTTTTTTTGTTTTGTTTTTTCTGATAGGCAGTGGCACTTCTTTCCTTCTATCTTCAGCCACTTCTGGAACACTTCTGCAACATCTTTCACATTCTAATGAAGGAAAAGTTATTCAAATTAGATGTAAAACAATAATCACAAAAGAATAACACAATTAGGAACACTAAAAAAAATCTGGGAATCATCAATAAGGGAACCAACTATATTACATTTTACCAAATTTATCTTAACAGCCAAAAAAATCTCAAAGTTTTAACACTGTCCAAATTAACTTCTTGTTAAACTGTAACACTTTCCCACACAGAGACTGTTAAGGTTTCACAGGCTGTCCTTTGGATTACAAAAATTATCTACATATGTAACTTTTCAATTTTCCTCTTCACATGGGCAGAAAATGAGCTTGACTGAATTTTATGGTTGAAAACACTTTAATTTCTGTATAAATTATGTACAAATCTTACTCAGCCAATTTGTGGGATAGTGAAAAATGTAGGAAATTTTGCCCAAACAAGAACTGCAGAAGAGGCGTTAAAATGCAGTAAAGGAAAAGTGAAAGTGCTCAGTACTTTATGAGGACATCACAGAAAAGACTTAAAATGTAAACATACAGGAATACACAATTCAATGATACTCAGATCATTACAAAAAAGTACTAAAACTGATTATACACAGAACAATACTGTGATTATTCTACCATTTAAGACTATTAAATTTATTTCTTTCTGCTATACAGAATTCAAAACAAGTATGAAAACATCAAATGTTTATGCATACTATTTCTGGAAAGAGGTTATGATAATCATCACATGGGCAATGTGATTGCTAATTTATTTACTACTGAAGCAATGTGAAGTGGGTGGGGGAAGGCCATAGAAACAAACACTGGACATGAAGTTCAAAATACCATATTTGCCTACAACTAGTTGTGTAATTTTAAGCAAGTTATTCATCCCCTAAAAGCCTCAGATTCCCATCTGTATAGCATGGAAAATGACCATTTCTTAGGTATGGCTATGAGGATTATAAGAGTTACTTAAAGTACCTAGTACAGTCCTTAGTTAATGAGTCCAATAAATGCTAGTTTCATTCTATTCCAATAAACGTTGTTTCTGGATCTATTCTTGAGCTATGATGAAAACGAGTGACAAAGAAAACAGCATATGCAAAGGCAGGTATGAAAAAAAAAGGCCTACAGAAGGAACAGTTAAGTATGAACAGAGTTCTGCATCTCTAGCATTAGACTAACAAGAGATAAAACAAAAAATAGGTTGGGACCAGATAAGGAACTTACACTTTAACCTGAAAAGAACAGATAATTAAAGGCTTTCATGCAGGGCAATGACACAATTATTTCATGCTTTAGAAAATTATTGTGACAATGTAGAAGAAAGAATAGAGGGAGGAAAACTTAGAGGCAGAGAATACAACAGTCTTTCATGTTACTCTATTAATTCAGTGGGACGCTGGACACTAAAACCTAGCTTTAAAAAACAGGTGAAGGGTGTGGTGGCACATGCCTATAATCCCAGTTACTCAAGAGGATGAGGCAGGAGGATCACCTGAACCCAGGAGTTCGAAACCAGTTTGGGGAACATAGCAGATCTCATCTCAAAACAAACAACAACAATAACAACAACAAACACAGGTGAAAATAACATGCACAGTGTTCAACATAGGCTTTGTATAGGGTAGTTCTCAACCTTGGTTGTATCTTACAATAACCTGGGGAACTTCAGAGTCCTACTGACCAAACTACATCTCATAACAAAAATCAGAGTCTCTAGGGAAAGCACCCAGGCACAGGTATTTAAGCTCTTCATATGATTTTCAACATGCAGACACCACTCTATAAAAGGCTTCTGGAGCCCTGAAGCTAAATATCAGGGCAAGATGTCTGTCAAGCCTATTCTGGAGGTAGGCATTAACTACCTACTTACTATAGCAGCACAGTTTCTGGTCCACTACTACATGTAATGAGATCACCATTTGGGTTTTTTAAGGGTTCTTTACTATTGATTTTTAAATTTTAAATATGCAAATACATACATACAGTAGAACTTTTTGAATATATGAACAAAGAATTTAAAAGCTCATGGTTTACTGCAAGAAAAACACTGGTAGCATTCTGATACACAACCACGCTATTTAAATGTGTATGTGTGTGTTTGTGTGCATAAAATACATATGCATATACACAACATAAACGTGTATACATTAATTGGATCATATGACATAATTTTTTATTTAATTTTTCAGAGGGTTGCTAAATCTTTAGCCTAAAGTATTACACTTTTATTGTTTCATCTTCAATAAGAGGAGCAAATCGTTCTCTCCTACACTATATACAATATAATACAGCTACTATTTGGAAACTTTCAGTTGTTTTGGTCCTTGATAGAATACAACTCAAATTATAAACATTTTCAGAGTCCTGGATTAGATTAATAAATAGCACATTTTCTGAGATTTACATTAGCACTTTAGTGAAATATTCTATAAGAAAAATAATTTGTATTTAAGAAGTAAAAAAATAAATATCTAAGAAAGTAATGTTATGGGGTACTCATTTAAAGTAACAAGTTTTAAAAAAATCAATAATACTCTAAATGTGCATTAAATATTACTGTTAGTTGAAAAGGATAATGGCATTGAAAAGTCATTTTGTGGCTTTCAGTTATTTTCATATCTGTTTCATTTTAAAATTTTGATCGATGAGCCTGAAAGTCACTAAGAAATGCATTATTTAAATGGTCACAGCTCAATTCCCCTCAGATTTATCTTCACAAACCTTGCCTAGAAATTTGTCACATGTATCCTTTTCCCTAGCCACAGCTATTATTGCCTGAGGTGATTGTTCTCTCTTTGTTTGAATCAAAACCTCAAGTAATATTTCTGGAACTCCAAAATATGTCTATGTATAGAGCTTCATGAGGCAAGCATTGGAGTACCAAAGAGGCGAAAAGAATTCCTTATTTTGGGCTTCTAATTCTTTACAGGAAAACTGGGGCAAAGTTTCATCATCTTTGAGTAGTAAAGCACAGTACTTGATAAGTATTTAATGAGAAGAAGAAAAATGTAGCCTGGGTTGGGTGCGGTGGCTCACACTTATAATCCCAGCACTTTGGGAGCCTGAGGCAGGTGGACCACGAGGTCAAGGCATTCCAGACCAGCCTGGCCAACATAGTAAAACCCTGTCTCTACTAAAAATACAAAAAATTAGCCGGGTGTGGTGGTGGGTGCCTGTAATACCCGCTACTCAGGAAGCTGCGGCAGGAGAATCAGTTGAACTTGGGAGGTGGAGCTTGCAGTGAGCTGAGATCATGCCATTGCACTCCAGCCCGGGCCACAGTGTGAGCTCAGTCTCAAAAAAAAAAAAAGAAAAAGAAAAAAACGTAGCCTGTGGATGGACTCCAGAAAGTTTTACTTAATTTCTGATTAACTTTTAATTGTGAATGCCTTTATAACTCTAGCTTTCTTTTTTAAAATTTTTACTTTGGTGGATACATAGTAGGTGTATATATTTAAGGAGTACATGAGATATTTTGAAACAGGCATGCAATGCATAATAATCACACCAGGGTAAATGGGGTATCTACCACCTCAAGCATTTGTCCTTTGTGTTACAAACAAAACAAACCGATTATACTCTTTTTTTTTTTTTTTTGAGACGGGATCTTGCTCTGTTGCCCAAATTGAAGTGGAGCAGTGCAATCCCAGCTCACTGCAACCTCCGCCTTACAGAGTTCAGCGATCTCTACCCTGCATATCAGACGTCCCCGAGTAGCTGGGACTCAGAGCCATAACCAACAACCATACAACACGCGAACTATTTTTGGTATGTTTTGACGCTGACAGACCGGGTGTTCGCCACATTTGTGCCCAGGCCTTGCGTCTGAACTCCTGCACTGTGCAAGGGTGATCATACCACTTCGGAACCCCCTCCCAAATGCTGCGAGGATTACAGGTCGTGAGCTCCACTTCGCACGCTAGACCCAACTCTCCTAGTTCTTAGTAGTGATATT